GTTTTGCGTTGGTCCACTTTTAACCACTAGTGAAAGCAAAAGCGAACACGAGTGTCTGACTTGGCTTGACTCGCAACCAACCCGCAGTGTTTTCTTTCTTTGTTTCGGCAGCTTGGGAGTCTTTAATTCGCGGCAGTTAAGGGAAACGGCTAGTGGGTTGGAGAAAAGTGGCGTTAGGTTCTGGTGGGTGGTGCATCCTCCCCTGGCTGACAGTCAAACTCAAGCTGGGAAGTCAAGCACTCCAAATGAGCCATGTTTGGAATTACTTTTGCCAGAAGGGTTCTTGGAGAGAACCAAAGATCGGGGATTTCTAGTGAATTCATGGGCACCACAAGTTGAAATACTCAACCACGGCTCGGTTGGAGGGTTTGTGACTCATTGTGGATGGAATTCTTTTCTTGAAGCCCTGTGTGCTGGGGTGCCAATGGTGGCTTGGCCTCTGTATGCAGAGCAAAGGATGAATAGGATTTTCTTGGTTGAGGAAATGAAGGTGGCTCTAGCATTTAGAGAAGCTGAGGACGATCAGTTTGTGACCGCGGCCGAGCTGGAGGAGCGTGTGATTGAGCTGGTGAACTCAAAGAAAGGTGAAGCTATTCGAGACAGAGTTCTGAAACTTAGAAAGGATGCGGTGGTGGCAAAGAGTGACGGAGGATCTTCTTGCTTAGCCATGGCTAAGTTGGTGGATTCTTTTAAAAAAGTTTGATGATTGTAAACCGCGAGCTTGAAACCATTAGCGTAACTATGTTCAACAATGGGATCTATCTTATTTGCTGATCATTTTTACCTGAACATGAACTATCAATATGTAATCTTTCAAAAGAACAGTAAATTCAAATTAAGTTCCAATGTTCCTAAGAAAGGCCCTGAGGAGACAAGGATTTATGATGTATCAAGCTATTTTTATGTCACTAATTACATTAGCTCTGTTTGCTAATGCGGTGGTAATAAATTGCTTATTGTTTTAAGTAGTTTTTTTTTTTGAAAAAATTATAATTAGTTTTTTATGTGTTTTTTAATAATTTTAATGTATTCATATTAAAAAAAACTAAATAAATATAATCTTGATATGTTTTTAATTAAAAGATATTTTCACAAAAATATCATGCAATATGCAATACATTATCAAACAAAACAGATTACATATTCATGACAACAAATCGCAAATAATAGAGTAATGATAACTTGGTAATCATCATGTTATGCCTCTTGTGCACGTTGGTCACTAATAAAAAAAAGTTTCATGTTACTAAATGAGATGATATTTGATTCAATTAAGTAGCTATAACGACACACATAGATATACACGCAAGCTGTGTAACCGCACTTCGCCGCCAGTTAAATAATTAATTTTTTTTAAAAGAATTCTTAAACAAAATAAAAGAGAGAATATTTTGTTAATTTTTTTATTTTTTTATTTTTTAACCCATTATATCATTTTATTTTGTATTTAAATTAAAAAAAATTATCATATTATATTAACAGAACATAAATATATATTAAACTACTTCAAATCTAACATGAAAAAAAAAATTATTATAATACTTATATATTGAATTGTGAAATAAGTTAATAATCAACTGAAAAATATAAATAATGAAGGGTCTTGTGTAGAAGAAAAAACACTTTTTTAAAAAAAAATTTCTTCTATATTTTTACTAGGTCACCCAATTTTTAGATAAATTTTGCAAATATATCAATTTACTTCGAGTCAATTATAGGCTAAGATTTTGAATGAAATAAATCCATCTAATATTGTTGGACTTGACCTCCCAACTAGACCCTAAGTGTTGTGTTCTACTTTGGGCATGACCCAAGTTGTTGGGTCATGGCTAGAAAAGAGTTCAAAGATGTTAAGTTTTGATAGTAGAAGGTTTTAATAGGGTGTTAGGTCATGGTTGGAGATAGGACCCAAAGTTATTGTATCCTGGTGGCAACAAGATCCAATTGGGTGTTGGGTTATAGTAGGTGGGGGAGGCAGGGCGAAAGCTGTTGGATCCTAATTCTAAGGTCCAAGTTGGGTCATGGTGTGATGGGTGACAAAGCCCTAATTGTTGGGTCTTGGTGTGTGTCAGGTTGAGTTCTATACTAGCAGGACTGAACACTACATCTGTACTATATAGGGCAAGATACAAAGCTATTTTGGATCTTGCATATGTCAAGATCCAAAACAATTGTGGGTTCTCTAACTGATAAAACCCAACATCTAATTGAATCTTGCACATTTCAAGATCCAAAGTAATGTTAGGTCCTATAATCGATAGGACCCAACTTTAATAGTTCATGGCTGAACCTAGCACATAATTTATTTATATATTTAATAATATATATAACTTAAAACTACTACATAAAACATTTACAGAAAATAAAATATTAAGAGTTTCATTAACTTTAATATGACAATATTAGAGAATTATTTACTTAACTAGACAAAATCTCAATATTTTTTAAAAAAAATATGATTTTTTTTTAAAATATGAAAACATGAGAAAAGTATTATTTTGAAGCAAAGAAAAAAATTAAAAATTAAAATTTTTTTGGGTTTATTGTCACAGCCACACACAATGCCATCATTTATTTAAAAAAAAACATAAAACAAATTAATTTGAAGTAAAGAAAAAAAATTCAAAATTGTCAAATTTTTCCAAAGAATTTTTAAAAAGCAAAATCAAACATCATCTAAATAATTTGAAGTAAAGGAAAAAAAATTATTTCTTGAATATGATCACTCAACCAAAAATAATCTCAATATATACTTTAAAAAGATATATTTAAAAAATAATACAAAAACATAAAAAAATTATTATTTTGAAGTAAGGAAAAAATTTAAAATTTTTTAAAAATTTCTTGAGCCTAGTGTCGTAGCTAAACACAATCTCAACATATTTTTTTGAAAAATAATATAAAAACATAACAAAAATATTAATTTGAAGCAAAGAAAAAAATTTAAAAATTATTAAAAAAAAATTCAAAGAATTTTTGAAACACAAAATCAAATATGATTTAATTAGAAAATTCAACCCAACTTGAAACGAGAAAAAAATTACATCACCCAACTTTTGTAAAATATAAAAAAAAAATCTCATCAATTTATTTTAAAAAATAAATTTAAATAAGAGAAGACAATGATAAAGAAATTTAATTGGGTATGGATAGTGGGTCTGGAAGCCAATCATCCTTATTGATCAATGATCTTCCATTAATATTCAATGATGATGTTATACTATAGTGAATAAGATATATATATATTCAAAATATGCACTTGCATAAAGAGGCATCAAGGATTAATTCTCATGTACGTGATAATATGGATTCTCAATCTATCCACCAAAGAAAACCAATTGTTTTGTTTTGTTTTGTTTTTTACAATATTCCAATACTGTTATTCATAGGGTGGATTGCTTTGAATAGTCCTAGAAGGTGAGTAGATATTTTCGGTCTTTGTTTTTTCCATGAATATCTCTAATCTTTTCTTTTCATTGTATTTGGGCCATAGTTTTTGACTGGACCTTGAAAAACTACTTATGCCCCTAGATAACTTGCAAAGTCTACAAACTTTCCTGTGTTGGCAGGAGCCATCACCCACTTGAGTTCAACATCGACAAGCCCTAATATCCATATAAATCCTATGCCAGGCAGGACCAAAGCTATTTTTGATCCCGCACAGTCAGGATCCAAAGGTATTATGGATCCCACATCTAGCAGGACCCAACACCCAATTGGATATTGCACTCTACAGAACCTAAAGCAATATTAGGACCTGCATTCGGCAATACCTAACTCTAATGGTTTCTGTAGAGAGCTGGAACTAACACATAATTTATTTATGTATTTTATAATATATATAATTCAAAATTACTCATAAAAAGACTAAAGATAATAAAACATTGATAAAACTTTGAAACTCACACACTAATGTTATAAAATTAAAATATATTCTATTACCCAAAATAAAATCTCTTATATAATGCCAAAAAATTATAAAGTATATAATATGAATCAAAAATTTATTGAAAGCTCTATCAACTTTAATATGATAATATTAAAGAAATATTTACTCACCAGACATAGTCTCAATGTTTTTTTTTTAAATATAACAATATAAAAAAAATATTATTTTGAAGCAAAGAAAAGAATTAAAATTTTAAAATTTCTTGGGTTTCGCGCCGCAGCCAAATACAATGCCAATATTTTTTGAAAAAAATAATACAAAAACATAAAAAAATTATTAATTTGAAGTATAGAAAAAAACATTAAAATTGTGAAATTTTTTTCAAAGAATTTTTGAATTTCAAAGTAAAAAATGCTCTAATTAATTTGAAGTAAAGAAAAAAATATCAAATGAATATTAATTTGAAGTAAATTTTTTTTTTAATTTCTTGAGTTTCGTCTCTCAATCAGACACCATCTCTATATAAGTTTTTTTTTAAAAACAATATTTAAAAAATAATACAAAAACATCAAGAAAATAATATTTTAAAGTAAAGAAAAAAATTAAAAATTTTAAAATTTCTTGAGTTTGATGTCATAGCCAGATATAATCTCAGCATATTTTTAAAAAATAACACAAAAAATAAAAAAATAATTTGTAGCAAAGAAAAATACTTAAAAATTATTTTCAAAGAATTTTCGAATCGCAAAATCAAACATGATTTAATTAAAAAATTCAACCCAACTTGAAACGAAAAAAATTATTATCACCCAACTTTTATATAATATAAAAAAAACTTATTAATTTAATTTTAAAAATAAATTTAAATTAAAGAAAGCAATGATAAAAAAATTTAATTAATATGACTGCTACGTCTAGAAACCAATCGTCCTTGTAGATCAATGATCTTTCATTATTATTCAATAGTGTTGTTAAACTATAATAAAGACACACGCACAAAAAGTGTCGAGGCATAGAAAGGCATCTTGAATCTTGCTAGGGGCATGACCCAACCCAAAATTAATAGATATTGCTGCAGCAAGAGTATTGGGTTTGGCTATCAAAGCCAGACCCAACGGCTCTATTGTAGCATTTACCGCTGCATCGCCCTCGTGTTAATTGGCAAAAGTTAAAAGCACCACAACTCTAACCGTAATTGATGACTAAAAACACAGGAAAGAAACGCCTAAAGGGTTAGGTCGTAATATCAAAAGGTAAAGTTAATTTTTAAACCTTTTCTCCACATTTATATATTCAATAAATACATGGGATGTCATTCCAGGCGGATAGTCTTATATCCGATATGAATCAAATAATAGCAATATCTATGTCATTCTGACGTGCTGTGCTTAACAATTCCAAGGGTGTCGAAAGCTCGTCACACATTGCTTTATTTTTTTCTTTAATATTTATTAGTTTAATAGTTCTCTCTTGTGTACTGCTCGAGTGCTAATTAAGTTAGTCTAGCATTTAAGAGAATTAAAAGTTGCAGTTCAGTGAAGAAACGACGTCGAGATTTGGTAGACAGTTCAAATGTCATACTTAATTAGGAAGGGGGTAATAATTATGTTATTTAATCTTGATTGATATGTAAATTCATCTGAAAATAAATACTCTTATTGTGCAATAAAACAAGACAAATAAAATCTAAATCCAGACATACAAAGTAAAGTCTACCTCGATGCATCGACCCTCCAAATTCATTCGAGCAGTAATAAATCAACTTTCAAATCACTCTACAATGAGAACAAAAGAGAAAAGAGAAGGGTAAGGGC